TAACAGGCATCATACTGTACAATGTCGTTAAATATATCTTGTAAGATTTGAGGTTTTCACAGCGGTGAGTATGAAGATTTCCGTCTTCTGGGTTGTTGCGCTGTGTAATATGGTAGATGTTTACCAGACTACACAGCGCAACAACCCAGAAGACAGAAATCTTCAAATATATATTGCATTTCGTTAAATTTTCACCACAACGAAATATGTTCAAATGTATGTTGTATATTTTAACATCTATATTGTGAATTACGAGTGTTAACACGCGAGTAATTTTTAAGAAAACGTTCTATTTATCCTAAACGTAAAGTAAGAATTATAGTAGATATTAAGCCATATCAAATCCGTTCAACAACTTTAAATGTAGATAGCAGCTATCATTTTAATCTTATTTACTGAATAACGCAGTTTCGCAGATAAAACATGGATATGAAAAGACAGAAAATCCTCACTGAGTTCACTTCCTACACAGAAGGCAATAAAGGATACACAGATGATACAAGCAGCAAGACCATCACTAGAATCGCCGCGGTCATTTTTTGGCCCCAAAATTTTGAAACGGTCAAGGGCACCTTTCCTGCAGCGTACGACAAATTTATGTCGACATCCAAAACGAATAGAATTGAGTTAAAACAAAACACGTTCTGCTTGATTTTTCTTTATGGTTCTGAAACGTGTAGTTATGGGCGGGGAATGTAGCGCGCATGGATTAGATGAAGAATGCGTACAAAATTTTGATTGGCAGTCTGAAGGGATGGGCTTATTCGAAAGATCTGGCGCAGATGGCAGGAGAATATTACAATGAATCTTGGGGAAATAGGGTGGGAGGGTGTGGGTGTATATTGGTTTTGTCTGACTCAGGACAGAGACCTACGGCAAGTCCTTGTGAACACGGTAATAAACCTTCGATAAAGGACTGGAAACTTACTGGCTACTCGAATAAAAGCAACTCAAGAAGGACTCTGCTAAATGGAATTGCGTTGTGGGTCCTGGTTTCTCTCCGAAATGGAACACTAATTACAATTATTTGAAAATAAAGAGCTCAGAAAATATCGACCAAAAACGTAATATGAGAGTATTGAATGATACTACGTGACGAACTTACTGAGCTATAGAGGTCACATTATAGGCGTAATGCTAAGATATTTAGACCTAAGATGTTACAATAGACTAAGAACGGAGACTGATGGGAAAGACAAATGCTTTTAGGTTGAGGAGATTGTAGGATAATTTTAAAACGGCTTTCATAAAATGAGTCGTGAGGTTGGTAGGCGGGTAGAAAATTCTCATGTCCAATGGCAGGCTTCCGTGTCTGCGGTGCTGAAACTTTGGGATCTACTATTCGAACATTATATAACTTTTTTAGTCTTTCTGAAAATAAACTTTCGCAGCTTATTGCAAATGACACGTGACGTGACTTAGGAATATATATTATTCTTCTACTACTTCAAGCAGTAGGCCCTCAGGCATGTTCCGCCTCCAAAGAAAACATTTAATATAATAGACAAATAATGTCAAAAGGTCAATGTCAAGTTATGGTGTTAATAATGCTGAGACTTTAACAGCTCGGCATAATGGAGCGAATTATGGCTCAAGAACAATAAGAACGCAAATTATTACAATGTATTCAGTTGTTATTATATGACCAAATACAGAACGTCCCATAAAAGATATATACACACAATCAATGAATGAAATAAATACATTTTAATAAATTAAAACATTTCATACGTCAGCATTGGCACTTAGTGAATTAGCGAATCTAGTGTAGGTTCTCATAATGACCACTGTTAGCTTCGAGGCGCTGTTGTCAGCGGTGAGAAACTGACTGACAAGCGGTCACCAAAGTTTCTGTTATGTATACGCCTTTTTGGGACATTCTGTATCTTTAATGGATGACTTGCAAAGAAACGTTCAAACAAATTAACTCTAACTCACCAACAAAAACAAAGGAAATTTTAATAAAACTAGGATGGGCAACACAAATTTAACGACGTTGAATCATGCAATTTTTTGTGTAGTATGAGGTAAGGGGATGATGCAGCCGCATTGTGTGTGGATGCGGATTCAAGGGGTCGCGGGTTGTTTCAATGAACTGCCACAGAATTCGCGCAGAGGACGAATAGAAGTTAGAAACGTTATGAGTAAAACTAGTCGGAAAATATGGCACACCGCGATAATCATACATTACCCAATCTATCTCCAATCTAGCATCGCACAAATTTCGAGTCTTCCATACATCTCAAAGAGAAATACCCTATCTCAGAACTAAACAAATTAATAAATAAATACGCATTTTAAAATAAAACAATAAAAATCTACATTTTCAACCAAATGCAAGTTTTAATCCCTAGTAGGATTTTAATCACTTCCTGCTTTACTCACCTTGCTCCAGCTGTGTAAGAATCAGCTTAATAGTGCCCAACCCATTTTCAGTTTGATACGATATGTGTCGTCAACACTTACGCAACACGTCACAGTTTACAAAATTATGTCAGAATCAATAACGATATTTTTACGTCTTTGGCGTTATCTGAAATTGTATTCCGTCATGCCAGATACCGGCACACCACTACTGAATAATCTAATTTCACAATCGGAATGTTTTACGATTTTTTCTAGCATATTACAATAAAAATTAGAACAACAATTTAGAAATTCAGGAATGACACTTATTGAAGAATTGCATTAATATCAGAGTGCTCACAATTTACGTACCGCTATCAAAACGTCATGGCTAAAATTGTATAACTTTAATTACAGGCAAGCTTGGAAGGAAATGGTCGTCGAATCCCAGTACGGAATTTCAGATTTCTTGGTTCGTTTAGAGCAGTGGTAGTCAACCTGGGGTACGCGAAGACATCTTACGGGGTACGTGAAATTTTAAAAAAATATATATTATTTTATGATAAACACTGAATAATCAGTAATGTAATTTATTTGATTTATTTTAGATGTAGATTATATATTATGTATAACTTGAATTATACACCAACAAATTTGGGGGTACAAAGTTGAAGAGAAATTATATCTGGGGATACGCGAACAAAAAAGGTAGAATACCACTGGTGTAGAGGTAATTATAAAAACAGGAGGTTAGCTTAAATCGGAGTGGGCAATAACTCTTCCCCGGCGGCCAGAATGCTTACCAGACGTTTCTGTTACATGAGTGCATGCGTACATACGTAAGTATAGCACACATTCCAACACTATTATGAGATACACCTATGAATATTATAAGATTCAAACATTACAAAATATGAATTTCAGTAAATCCAGTCAACCGCTGATTCGACTATGAAAATCTTTCTGTCCGTATAGAACAAAGTATGAATTTAAACTTAACATACATTGTGAATAAACTGCAATGAGAGAAAATTGTCTCAAATGCAACTTATTTAAGTGCCTGAAACTTTCTTTATGGAGACTCGAGAAAGGCGGGAACCCAAATTCCGATGCTTATCTGGCGAAATGAAGAACAGAACTTCGATATCAAAGCGAATACGAAAAGACAGGTAAAGCTACCTCGTCATCGTGCGTTCATTTTTACCTTCGGTGCACAAGAAGTAAAACCGACAAGATAATTCCACCGTGCCATCTGATAACGTACTTGGAGTTTACACGAGTTCCGCAGATTATGACCACATTCATTCAGCTCACATGCACATATCAATAACCAGAATGTGCAAAGCTGTTTCTTTCTTAATGCAATGCCATCCTGACCGTTCCGTAGCACACCCCGTTATCCCAACAAGGTTCTGGCGACATGAACACACATCAGGTGCCGAGAAAATGTCACTTCAAAATTTAGGTTAAGTTTGCTTTTAAATTTTCGGTTTGATCTGTTTAGTGTACTGACAGTAGCGAGTAACAATTGGATATTATTTAAATATGTCTTTCAATGAGCCCAAAATGAATTCTAAGAAGTGATGCAAAATTAATCAGCATTCTAGACGTTTTTATAATCTCCTGGTTGCAATTCTTACACTAGCAGAATCTTGTACGGAAAAGATGTAAGTCAAGATTCGCTGTAGCCGTTAGGATCTTAAGATTACTGAGAAATTCTCTCTGCACGAAACCGAGCAAATGTTCGTGAAATAACAACTACTGCATTCTGCTAGAATGTATAAAGTTTCGTAATAATTTCCAGAGCCTGTACTTTATTTCTGAAAAATGAAAAATGAAATAATAAATACAAAATCCAGTTATTTCAAAACGTTTAAGAAAAACTCTGTTCTAACGCGGTTTAGACTTTGAGACTTGTCTTCGACTGTCTCTTCACGTTAAATATAACGGGAAATGGTATACGTTAGGCAGTGGTACCTACAGCGTCTGCATTTCACATTCCTCAGCCATCAAAACAACGGAATCGGGGAACATAGCATCTCAGCTATTTTTGCTGTCCTTAATGCCTCCAGCGAAATGAAATAACACATCCGTCCATAACAACCTTAAATGTTACTTACAGCTATCAGCGAAATGAAATAACACATCCGTCCATAGCAACCTTAAATGACTACACTGTTACTTATAGCCATCCGCATGTTTGTTCATAGGACATTTAACAGTGCTGTTCGGAGCACATTTCTTAGCGGATTCCGATAAATTATTCAGATTGTACACTAAACGTTGTCAGCTGAATCTGATTTTGTTTTTCCAGTCTATTACAATCCTGTTTCATAAGAATCAAATTATCTGAAGATGGCTGTCTTCTGGGTTGTTGCCCCGTGTATAGTGGTAGAAGTTTACCGACGTTTCAGAGGTCCTTGCTGCCTCCATCATCAGGGCGACGAAACGTCTGAAAACTTCTACCAGACTACACGGCGCTACAACCCAGAAGACAGCCATTTTCGTTCTTGCCACCATAAGAACCTAAAATACTAAAAATAATCACAGGTTATTAAAATTTCAGTACAGTAAAATACGCTCAATTTCGCTAACATAACGCATTACAAGCACAAAAACTAAATGTTTTCCTTCCAAAAATATTCAAAGGATACATGTTACCATGTCTCTGATGCACTGGGGCTCTTCAGGCATACTGTAAAAGGCTCGAAACTCTTTCCGAAGATCGTGAAAATAAGAGTAGTATCCGGGCAGATCCAGATTTTTGGAGCACGTCTCCGGGTGGAGACACTGTCGAAGTGGTAATTGTCCGTCTGTGACAAACCGCAGCGAGTGCGTTGAGGGACCGATGTGAAACGTCTGACGGGCGTAGTGTTCGAACTGCAAAGAAAAAACGTATTCTGTTAACATTCACCCTACCATCTCACTGATATACGTTCAGCACCAATATGACAAATCTGAGTCAGTTCAAGAAATAAGACATTAGATCTGAGGTCCTCTCGGCGGTGAAGATGTTAATGTTGACCTTCTGTGTTGCAACGCCGTGTGGCTTTTAGGTGGATGACAACGTTTCGGAGAAGCAAACTGTCCTCGCCTGCAGCCTGCTTTCGTTCTTTCTGGGGGCGAATGAGGGACTTCCATGAATTGCTCAGGGCGAAGCTGTTCAGACCTGAAGACAGAGGGAGTATATTCTTCCGAAACGTCGATGGTGACCTATACGTTCACACGACGTTACAACTCAGAAGACGAGCAGCGACAGTTCAATACGTTCATAAACAAAGTCAACTTCCCCAAACACTAACATATTTTGTTTCAGTCAATTTCCGCTGCATTTCCAAATTTAAGCTCCCTCGAAACTGAATATACACGGCGAGGGCTCTTAAGAGAATACTCGTTAATATGTGCAACAAAACATTGACAGAGTGTGTCAGATAGCAATTATCAAACTGGCAATGCAAATAACACGGTCTCAAGTCTTCAATAAAGAAACGTTACACAGTTAGTGTAGTTTAACTGCAGGATTTTCGTGTTATTACTAATAACATTCATTGTATTATTAAAACTGGCGTACTAATGGCAGCAGGACAAATTACTCTAAAGTCATGCTAAAAAAGAACACATAACGGACAACGTACTTAGCAGAATATTTCAGTCGGAAATTCTGCAGAGCATTAACTTGACTGACGCATGCCAGACGTAATTATATTCATTTCAAGAAATATCAATAGCTCTTACTCTGCCATGTAAGGACATCACTTAACCAGCGAGATTTTGTATTGTGAATTATCCGCAATATCTGTTTTTAGGTGGGCGTAGACGGTGGCCCAATTATGTACTTAACAAATAAGTCCTATAATGCAGTAACCTGATTTTTGCTCCAGAAATACTTCCCACTCGTAACGGGCTAGTTGTTGACCAGCGGCAAGTGTAAGAAGTGTACTCCAGTGGGAACTTACATTCTTTCCAAATACATTCTTTGTGATTTTGAATACCTAACTGGCACTAATGTCAATTCATTCCAGATACAAATCTATAGTTGAAAAACGTATCATACTGCCCTAAGTAAGAAATGGATGTTCTCTACATTTTGTTACATATCCATAAATAATTCCAGACAACTATTAAACCCAACCATTCAGAAAATTAAGACACCGTTTGATATCAAAAGTCTACGACTACTATTTCAAACATTTTTAAGTGTGAATCACATTTTACAAAATTCGAGGAAAAATTATTTAATTGGTTGTGTCTTGTATGATTTGAGGTTTTCACAGCGGTGAGTCTGAAGATATCTGTCTTCTGGGTTGTTGCGCTGTGTAGTATGATCGATTCATCGCCCTGATGACGGAGGTAGTATGACCTCTGAAACGTTGGTAAACATCGACCAGACTACACAGCGCAACAACCCAGAAGACAGAAATCTTCATGGTTATGTCTTGATACAAACTTTACAAACAACAGATTCGTGTTCGTAATGAATGGTCCTGAAGGCCATTGTTACGTTGTTACGAACGCATATGAAAACATGTAGGCTGTAAACCGTACTTCTCCGCTCTTGTTAAAAACATTCTTATAAATACTTCTCTGAAAGATACTAACACCGTGTTTGGCAGCAAGACGATTAGTGAATGTGATCAAGAAAACTAAAACAGACACGCAATTACCCCCTGTGTTTCCGTAACCAAGGCGTATCATGGCTTACTGCATGACTACTCGCGTGGTATTGTACCTGTATCAAGAACCACAGCCAAGATTTCCTGCAGAAGTTCACTGAATCAAGCACAAGCAATTCAACTACATACTTCGGTTGCTGTGAAGATAGGAAGACGGGCCCGTTAGGGCCTACTGCAGATCAGTTGTACTCATGCAAAGTACGCCTCGAGGAAATCGTTCTCAAAATGATAGAAGAAAACTTCATAAAACACAGCATAGCCTATAAGCACACTGTGTATCCATTTACACATTACATTTCTGTAGCTGAAAAACATCCAGTGTCAAAGCACAGTTCTGTTCCGTATTCTTTAATTACATATAAATCCATTCTGCAGCCTTCCTTGAAAATCTGATAGTTGCTTATAGGGTCAATAAATTCGCCGTCTATTATGTAACTGGAGAGTTACTGTGTTCACAAGAGTCCGCCAGTGGACCACGTGCTGAGCCAGCTGAATCTAGTCAACATCATCATACTCAACTAGCCTTCCTTCCTGTCTGTGCCTTGGTCGTCTAAGAGGTCAACTCTACATTTTCATGTTTTCATTCTTGAGTTCCATTCGAGTCTCACATACGCGCTACATGTCAGACCATCTCACCCTCCTTCATCCCTTAACTAACTACGTAGATGGCTTACCGAAACTGAAGGTTCATCACCGAATTAACCAAAGACCTCCACCGGACCCTGTCCTGGGCCAACAAAATCCAGTCTCCTTCAACTCCTATCTCCCATAGATTCCGCCTCAGATTATCCTCCCATCTACGTCTAGGTCTCCCCAGCGGTCTCTTCCCTTCAGGTTTCCCAACTAGTACCCGGTGCACACCTCTTGTCCCATCCATGCGCGCTACATGCCCAGCCCATCTCACTCTTCTTGATTTAATCACCCTGACAATATTGGGGGAGGAGTGCAGATTTTTAAGCTCATCATTATGCAGTTTCCTCCATGTCCCATCGTCTTCTCTCCTAGGCCCAAATATCCTCCTTAACACCCTGTTATCAAACACCTGCAATCTGTGTTCCTCCCTCTGAGTGAGAGACCATGTTTATCTTCAGATTTGCGCAGTCAGATTGTGCAACAACCAAATATTCCCATCAATCGTGGTTTCCGTATTGTATCCGCACGTCACTCATCGAAGAGATGCAGCAACTTCCTTATGAGGCTGCTGTAGGGGAAAGATGCAGTCGCAATTAGAAGCAGGAAGACGCGATGGAAACGCAGATAATGATGAAGATGAGGACAACGACCGCCGAAGAGTTGCTTGCCCTCGTGCCGAGTGCAGAGTCGTGACGGTCGAGCGTGAGCGGACTGACAGTCGGCAACGGGTGCTCCACAAATGGCTTCACGTGTGTGGGAGCCGGCTGAGTCGATGCCGGGTGCCCCATAACTAGCTTCCGCGTGGCTAAAGGAATGCCAGTTGGTATCGGGTGACCCTCAACTACCTTCACGTGTGTGGCAGCGGACTGACAGGCGGTGTCGGGTGCACCGCAAGAGGTTTCACGAGCGTGTGATAAGAATTACAGGTGGTACCGGGTGACGCGCAACTGACTTTACGTGTGGGAGTTAATCTATTACCTCATTAATCGACAATTCAATTCTTACGACGTCAAATTTAGAAATTAATTCTGATATTATTTTGCACAGATCTTGCAACTGCAGATCGTCAAATGAGTTAGGAGGAACATAGTAGCCGATTCTGACTGGCTAAGTTTGTGGAAGGAGAAACACATGGTCTATCCTGGCGTTCTATGCCGACGTTCAACTGGAGAGACTGAAGGAAACCACGTAACGGACTGCGAACAATGTTGCATAGCAACCGATGACAATGCCTAAAACTCAACGGTCTCGCGATGAAAAGCAATTCCGTAAGATCTGCATACATCTGTCGGAACTACTTCTGTGATGGCGAGATATGAAATGCGAGTATCGAATAATTTGTAATATGGATAAGAAAGTACAACACGAAGTACAGTCATCACAAAGACGCTAAAAAATAATGTAATGAATGTGTCTGGAAGCGGAATGGGATCCATTTTAAACAAGACACATCCCTAACTTAATAATAATGAATGGAAAGGATTGGTACAGATGGAATATACAGTTTGCATTTTTGTAACTGCCATTGGTGTTTCTTTCGCTGGAGATATAAATATTTCTAACCAATACAAACCAATCGCATGAGGCTGTATATACCTCGAGGCCTATTTATAAAACCTGTAGCCATACCAGAAAATTAATAACTAATTTGTTTTGAAGAGAAAATTGTATTCTGTTTTTTTGTAGCCAAATAAAATTTCCCAACGTTATACAACATCAAGTCATCAAGTTGCGTTATGACACGTTCTAGGCCGCCTCATTTTTCATATACGAGGTAAAGTCCAAAAATGAAGGTAAATAACAAAAAAAAATTATTGGTAGCGTTGGAAATGACGGCGAATGCAAGTAATGTGAGTCTCCTCTCATGTGTACCTAGTTGGTTACTGCTGAATACTGAACAGTGACAGTACTGTTACACATTTAGCATGGCTGCTCCTCCGCGAGAATATACCAAGGAAGAACAACGACCTCCAATCCATTTTGTTCAAGGCAGATGGTGTAAAAACTAGCGAAATTAACAAAAGTGTAGGTATTCAGTACAACGTACAGATATAGATCGGTAAAAATTGTAAAGACAGCGAACAAGACTTGTTGATGAACTATCTCGACGGATATCGATATTAACGTGTTACGTCTACTGAGGTTCAAGAATAGATCAATCGGATTATCCGAACAATGTAAGAACAGAGCTTGCTGCATTCTGGGTGGCTGCGCCGTGTCGTCTGGTAGTTTACCGACGTTTCAGAGGTGCTTCCTTCCTCCATCATCAGGGCGATGACCTTGATGATAAAAGAAGCAAGCGGTAAGTTTCTACCAGACTACGCTGCCAACATTCCAGGAAACAGTCATTTTCACATTCGCTACCGTGAGAACCTGAAATCTAACTAAAGAATCATTGCCGATACAAAAAATTTTAAATGAGTGTGACGGAAATAAGAGACGCATGAGTGACATTAAACCTAACCGAAATTTTTTTATCATCACAGAATTAAAAACATGTGCACCTCTGGACCAAATAAATTACGTAAAAAACGTGTAATAGGCCTGTGTAACAACTTTGTCAAAACGTATAAT